ATTTATCTTACATTGCTATGAACATAAGATGAGCTTGATCCCGGAGGCTTCTCACTGTAATCACTAAATTCAGTTTTGATTAGATCCGATCCAGCTCCATAAATTGCATCACCAAAAGGATTGTTATGTTTATTTGATTTTGGCACTAAAATTTGTGCATGGTAATTTCTTGATTTCTCATGCATTTTTTGAGGGAAAAAAAAGAAATCACTTGAAAACTTGACCAATTTATTCAAAATCAAAGCCAATATATTTTAAATATCTGTTAATATATTAAGAAAGCTGCGAGTAACGAGGTCCAGATATTATATTCATCACGCTCTTTAAGAAAATGTTATGGTTGTGTCATAATCTCTACCAAGAGTTGCAGAGTCCAGGATCCCATAAATTCCCATTTCCCAATAATAATTACACATTAATACTCTTGATATGCTAGCTTCCTTAACTTATTTCTTAAAACCTAAAATTAAAGTGATTAGGTTAAAATCTTGAATAAAGTCCTGCCTATCGTTTTGTTGTAACTAATTTCTAAATGTTTTTACCTCTGGTTGGATACATCTGTTTTCTTCTGAAAATTACTACATCAACATAAAGTTATAAAATGTACAAGTGCACACTTTATAACTTTATGTTGATGTACGGATGCAAACTCTAAATTACAATTTTTTTTTTTTTTAACAAATTTCACACTATGAGTTTACCATGTAATCTCTTTTAACTATTTAATTTTTTTTTAATTTAAATCATCCAATCATCTTAAAACATATAACTTTGTATGAGGGAGTTCGTATATAAAATATTATCTTCGGTAAGGAATAGTTTATATATGTAGCATTACTTCTAGAATAAATTCTTGCATGTTGATTTGCTTAAGAATAATGTTAGGTTCACAACCCAATCTCACAACCTTCTCTCATAACCTCTGTTGTAGTAGCTCGTCATTTGTTAGCTCGCAAATGGACAAACATGACCCATGGCAAGTAGACAGGACCCATTTACGATCTGATCAATTACGAACTATCACGTCAAGAATTATAAGAGAAAGTGGTGAGATTGAGTTATCAATATAATATTACTATTTGCTTAATGTTGTAATTAATTTCTTAATTTTTTTACCTCTTGTTGGATACATCTGTTTTCTTCTTTTGATTGTACTGAATTTTGTTTCTTAATGTCTTAACAAGATTTACCTCTAAATAAAGTAATAATAAAACTGCAAAGAAAGAAGTCAACTGAAAAAAAAAAAAAAAAATGATAGTAATTTGCACAATTTGACTACGTGTTTAAATTCTTTAAGTAATATTAATTAACTTAACTGTACAGATATAAAGGGCAGATCACATAGAACTTTCTCTGTATGACATTTAAACCCTTTTTATTAGCTTACAAAGTTACTATTAGAGAGCGGAAAGATGATATTTGACGTATAACTTCGTCTTTTTCTTCTTCGTCATGCTTCTCANAAATAAAGGCTTACCTATGTTGAAGTCATCTAGCACCAATCAGAATCCAAGAAATCATTTCACCGTCCAGAACATGACACGTCTCCATAAGCAAAAAGAATATAGTTGTCAAGACCCAAACCAACTCAAGATTTTATGTCTGAGTGAATTTGGCTCACACACCTGTCCAAGCCCCATTTAATTTAAGGATATTCTTTGAGTTCTCAACGAATAGGAAAGCAGGAGGGATCTTCACAGCATCGAGCCACTTGCAAAAGTGTAATCATTACCTTAAGCTAAACAGGTATAAATAGGTAGCTCCTCCTCACAAAATCGGGATCAAACATTCACGTATTCAACAAAGAAAATAGCAAAGACACACCACTAGAAAGAGACTGGCTTGATATTCTTTAAGAAACTTTAGAACACCAAATATTTGTAATTCCAGATCGCAGCTTGCAATCTCTTGTAAGCCTATCTACTGATTAAAAAACAATTTATAAAAACAAACACAGTGGATGTAGGATTCACTTTAAGCATTTGAATCACTATAAAAATTATCTTGTCAACTTTACATTTACGTCTTTGCATATTACTGTGCTTAGAGTACCTCACCCATTTACTATAATTAGCTTACGTGTAAAGTCGTTGGTGTCAAAATTATATATATAGTCAATTGATACATAAGATTATAAATTTGAATGTCTATATATTTATATGCACACTTTTTTTCTCAAAATATTTTCATCTTCACAAAATTTGTCGGTTTTCTAGTTTCACATAATTTTCATGGCTTTTATATTGAATTTTTTTTTGTGTGACTAACTTATATAACACAAAATTTTCAACATTAATTTGTTAAATTATTTCCTATTGTATATAAAAGTTATGCCATTGGCTGTCGTAGTGTTTCTTTTTATTCCATATCCTTCATATAGTTCAGTTTCCAATTTCTTATAGAACCAATAATTTCAAATAAAATGCATATCCTTCTATGTTTACTTTTCAATTTCTTATTAGAACCCATCATTCTCACATAAAATACATATATTAAAATACAACAAAGCTACAGACACCTGCATTTTTGCACCGAAAATGTGTACCAGCCTACGTGTCTCCTGACTTACACTAGCAATCCAGACGTGTTATTAAATATTTTTCTAGTAAACGGTCGTCCATCAAATATAGACGGCCGTTCACTTACATGGACTCCCGTCCATATTATATGGACGGTGGTCCATTTACTACGGAGGGGCGTCACCATTTAAAAGACGCCTGTCCATAAGTAAAATGGAATAAATTTTTTTTATAAAAATTAGAGACGGTCGTTCATAGGTTATGGACGACTGTCCCTAAATATTGGACGGGCGTTCATATTTTAATGGATGCTCATCCATTAACAATTCATTTTAAAAAATTAAAAAACATTTAGGGACAGTCGTCCATTCATTTTGAACGGGCGCCTGCAAATAAGGGACGCCCGTCCTTAACCAAAATATGAAAATTAAAAAAAAAAAAAAAAAACTTTGGGGACGCCTGTCCACAACTTACTTTTGGACGGGCGTCCGGTTTTACAAAACTAAAGAAAAAATTTGGACGGCTATCCATAAATCCCAGCTTCCCTTCCATCTTTGGTGCACAATACCACCACAACTTCTCAGAAAATTTTCATGCATGACTTAACTATGGCATCTTACATGCTGCCTATCTATTCACTTTGTCGCGATCATGCAAATCCTCTCGATTGTTGCATATTCGACTTAGATGCCACAAAAAGCATGACTTAGCAATTAACTTGCTACTTGTTCCTCTAAAATTGGCTGTGTAGAAGAACCAGTTGAGAATCCCAGCTTTTCCATGATTTCTTCCAAGCGTTTTGCATTTGTTAGGTACAGATAACCAACTTGTGTACAAGAACCAGTTAAGGCATACAATTAATAGGAACCTAGAGTGGAAACTAATGCATTCTTAAATGTAACAAATACTACTGTAAGAAAAAAACAAGGTACGAGGGTACTGACTAGTGTTTCTAGCGAAGATGCTCTATTGTAAACTGTTGTACCAACTCGTTTTTTTGTTTGTGTTTTAGCAGAGATGATATTCTTTCCCCAGCGAAGAACATCCCTACAGTAAAGAATATCAACTACCATGAGTCAAATGCCAACTCTGAACAAATGAACAAGTAGCAAGTTAATTGCTGACTCATGCTTTTTGTGGCATCTAAGTCGAATATGCAATAGTCGAGAGGATTTGCATGATCGCGACAAAGTGATAGATAGGCAGCATGTAAGATGCCATAGTTAAGTCATGCATGAAAATTTTATGAGAAGTTGTGGTGGTATTGTGCACCAAAGATCAAAGGGAAGCTGGGATTTATGAACGGCCGTCCAAATTTTTTCTTTAGTTTTGTAAAACCAAAATAATGGACGGGCGTCCATTCCTTACGGACGCCCGTCCAAAAGTAAGGGACGGCCGTCCACAATTTTTGGACGGGCGTCCCGAAAGTTTTTTTTTTTTTTTTTAATTTTCATATTTTGGTCAAGGACAGGCGTCCCTTATTTGCGGGCCGTCCATAAAGAATCTTGACTGGATTTCAAAAGCAAGTTAACAAGAATTATGGGTTTGAGAAGAACACAGCTGAATACACTTAAAAATGGGTAAACTGAATTTTCATTTACTAAAGAGAAACAGAGCAGATTGCGTTTTTTATATCAGGAAGATGATATAGAAAAACGCCACCATATTGAGTTAATACAAAACACACCGTATGATGCTTTTTACAATAAAACCCAACTTGCTTCTGTTCTTTACACTTTAACCCAAACTGCTATACTCAGCTTCTCCTAATCGTTTCTTTTATCCAATATTTCCCCTTAAACAAAACATCTCTTGATCTTGTTCTTCACTTTTCCTAATATTTCCCCTTAAACAAAACATCTCTACAAATTTCTGCACATACAATAACTGACACACAGTAAACATTTTTACTACATAACTTTCCACAGTAGCTTCAGCACAATAGAAAAACCACACCATATCATTTCACAACAACTTCATTTTTCAGTAGACTTTAGCACATTTCACAGCAACTTCACAGCAACAAAACATTTCTGCAAATTTTCTTCAGCAACTTCACAGCAACAAAACATCTCTACAAATTTCATATCATTTCACAGCAACTTCACAGCAACAAAACATTTCTGCAAATTTTCTTCAGCACAACAGAAAAACCACACCATATCATTTCACAACACTTCACAGCATCTTCACAGCAACAAAACATCTCTACAAGCAACTTCACATCAACAAAACATTTCTGCAAATTTTCTTCAGCACAACAGAAAACCACACCATATCATTTCACAACACTTCACAACAACAAAACATATCTACAAGCAACTTCACAACACCAAAACATCCCTACAAATTTATGTATTCTCAATTAAAACAATCTGCAGGCATTAGCAACACATACTGCAGCACCATAATCTTATGACAATCAGCTTAAACACAGCACCTGTATTCTCAATTGACCACTTTAAGAGAACAACAGACAATCTAATTAGATAAAGAATCTGTAACAGTAAGTTTCTCCTTCAAGTAATTAAACTGATTTCCAGGTAAAGCTTTGGTTAGAATATCTGCCACTTGGTACTCAGAAGCAACATATTGCACACTTAAGCTTTTATTTGCAACTAAGTCTCTCACATAATGCACATCAATTTCGATGTGCTTTGTTCGAGCATGAAAAACAGGGTTTGAAGATAGTGCTCCAGCACTCATGTTGTCACACCACAACACAGGACAGTTATTCAAAACAAGACCAATTTCTTCAAATAAATTTATGATCCATACAAGTTCTGTAGAAACTTGGCTTAAAGATCTGTATTCTGCCTCAGTAGATGATAGAGAAACTAACTTTTGTTTCTTTGAACTCCACTGAACTAAATTTCCTCCAATAAAAACAGCATAACCACTTGTAGACCTCCTATCATTAACATCACTAGCCCAATCTGCATCTGCATAAGCTTCTAGTGGGAAATGCTCCTTTTTAGTAAACAATAACCCATGATTTAGTGTTCCCTTGACATATCTAAGAACCCGTTTGCATGCTGTCCAATGATTGACAGTGGGTTGCTGAAGAAATTGGCTCAATTTGTTCACAACAAATGCAATATCAGGTCTGGACAAAGTCAGGTATTGCAGCCCTCCAACAATGCTTCTACACAGGGAAGGTTGATCAAACTGATCACTATCTTCTTTCCCCAGCCGAGTGCCAGTAGCCATAGGGGTACTGCAAGGTTTAGAGTCATTCATACCAGCTCTTGACAGCAGATCTTGAGCATACTTACTCTATGTGAGCAGCAACTCTTTGACATTTCTCTTAACTTCAAATCCAAGGAAATAACTTACAAGACCTAGGATTTTTAAAGCAAATTTGGTGTTCAAATCTGCCACTATCTGATCAACCAATTGAGGACTATTTCCTGTAACTAAAATGTCATCTACATACACCAGTAGATAGACTACAGCAGATTCATTTTTATAAAAAAATAGACTAACATCAGATATTGAGTTCTGGAATCCCCAATTTAATAGAGCATGTTTCAGCTTTTCAAACCAAGCTCTTGGAGCTTGTTTGAGCCCATATAAAGCTTTGTGCAACTGACAAACTTGCCTTGTTTGAGAAAAATCAGAGAAACCTTCTGGTTGCATCATAAAAACCTGTTCACTCAATTCTCCATTGAGAAATGCATTATTCACATCTAGTTGCTGCACTTCCCACTGATTATACACAGCTAAGGACAGAACAATTCTAATAGTTGCTGCCTTGACTACTGGAAAAAATGTCTCAAAGTAGTCAAGACCAGGGGTTTGTTGAAACCCTTTGGCTACTAATCGAGCTTTATACTTAGAAAGAGAGCCATCTGAATTTAACTTGGTTTTAAACACCCACTTGCAGCCCAATATATTCATGCCATCTACATAGGGTACTAATGCCCAGGTTTTATTGTTCAACAGGGCTTGATATTCAGCCTCCATGGCTGCTTTCCATTCTGGAGTTTTTAAAGCTTCAGTAACTGAGGATGGTTCAGGTAGTATTTTATGTGTAGATAGAAGAGCCTGAGGTATTCTAGTTGAAACACAACCCTTGGATCGAGTAACCATTGGATGGACATTTGTAGTTTTGCTATTATTTAAGATGGGAAGAACAACCTCAAGCTGAATTCCAGGATTGGTTTGTGTTGAAGTGGACACTACAGATTCATTGTCAGGTGAGGATAAGAGAGAACTAGTACTTCCCACAGTAGTGTTAGAGGCATCAACTTGTGGTGACAACTCTCTATAGTTTTGAATGAATTCTTTAGAATCTCTCTTGACTCATGGTTGTAAGAGTAGCAGGTTTAGAGGTCAACTTTGAAGGTTTGGATGATGATGCAAGGAATGGCAAATCCAAGACTTAGTACCCTCACAAAATTCAGGTGAAACAGGAGAAAACAGATCAGGTTGAAAGCCAGACTTGAACGGAAAATCAGTTTCATTAAAACGAACTTGCTTAACCACATAACATCTGCCATTAGAGTTCATGCACCTATAGCCTTTATGAACAAGACTATAACCCAAGAATACACATTTTTCAGTGTGAAAAGATAGTTTATGCCTTTGATAGGGTCTAAGAAATGGATAACAGCAACAACCAAACACTTTTAGGTCAGTATAATCTGGTGCTTGTTGGAATAAGGCTTCAACAGGAGATACAAAGTCAATAGCTNCAATGAACTTAAATGAAACGACCCCGTTTTGGCTTCACATTATTTTTCATATATATATATATATATATATAATCTTTTATACAAACCAATATGACACAATATGATTATCACAGTTGTTATTTTCTTGTTTATTCCTTCACATTATTTCAAATTGATTTGTATAAATTAGTTTATTTAAGGAAATTCTGGATATTAAATTCTTGTTACTTATAATTAAAAGATAAAAGAGAAATATAAAATTGGCTTGTTTTATTCATATCACTTTACAACTTTAAATACATCTCAGCTCAGGAATAAAAATCTAACAACATTCTCCACAACACATTACACGTTCAACCACAGACAACTAAATTAAAAGAAAGCCTATAATTTAGGAGCAGTTCTTATCACGTTCTACATGCCCCCGCAAGCGCAAGCTGTTCGGTAGAATGCTAAGCTTGGAACGGTGAGACTGGAACAGAGCCCAGGCTAGTGGCTTTGTAAGAGAATCGGCCAACTGGTCAGAAGTATGCACATGAATAGCACAAAGTTGCTTCTTCAATACTTGATGGCGAACAAAGTGAAAGTCAACAGCGATGTGCTTCATTCTTGAGTGGAACACCGGATTAGCACATACATATGTGGCGCTAACATGATCACAGTAAACAGTAGGCACTATGGGAAGAGTAAAACCAAGTTCTTGGAGTAGGTGAGATAACCAGTTAACTTTAGCGGTAGTGGAAGCTATGGCATGGTATTCAGCCTCCGTAGTGGACCGAGCCATAGTGGGTTGCTTCTTGGAGCTCCAGCTGATGAGATTAGGACCTAGGAAAATGGCATAGGCAGAAGTAAAGGAATAGTTGTCTTTGTTGCGAGCATAATCAGCATCAGCGAAGGCATGGAGAGCCAAAGAAGAATGACAACGAAGAAATAATCCATAGTGCAATGTACCCTTAAGATAACGAAGAATACGTTTGACTGCATTCCAATGATTAGTAGACGGCCGATGCACGAACTGAGAGAGCTTATTGACTACAAAGGAGACATTAGGATGCGTAAGAGACAAGTACTGGAGAGAACCAAGGACCTGCCTATACTCTGTGGCATTGTGATCTGGAGAACCATCATGAAGCATAAGATATTCAATAGAAGTCATTGGAGTACTAACAGGTTTAGCCTCAGTCATGTGTGTTTTGGCGAGAAGATCATGAATATACTGATGCTGTGAGAGATGTACGAGTAGCTTCAACACCCAAAAAGAAACTCAAAGAGCCTAAATCTTTTAGTGAGAATCGACTAGAGAGAGTATCAATAAACTTCTGAATAGAAACATCAATATTGCCCGTAATAATTATATCATCCACATAAACAAGGAGATAGAGAGTAAAAGTAGAAGTGCGACTCACAAATAGAGAAGTATCACAACGAGAATTGCAGAAACCATTGAGGGTGAGGAAAGCACGCAGCTCATTGTACCAAGCACGAGGAGCTTGGCGAAGGCCATAAATAGCTTTGTGCAGTTTATACACGTAGTCTGGAAACTAAGGATGTACAAACCTCTGAGGTTGCTACATAAAGACATCTTCACCTGGCCAGCCTTGCAAGAAAGCATTGTTCACATCCAATTGACGCAAGGACCAGCCCTGAGAAACGGCAATGCTAAGAACAAGGCGAACAATAGCCAGTTTAATAACAGGACTAAATTTGTCTGTGAAATCAACTCTAGGTTGTTGATGAAAGCCTTTAGCAACGAGACGAGTCTTGTAATGAGCAATAGAACTATTTGGATTTCATTTGATGCGATACACCCATTTACTGCCAATAATATTCTGTGTGGGAGAGGAAAGAACAAGAGACCAAGTGGAATTGTTAAGCAGAGCAGCAAACTCTTCACACATAGCCTCCCGCCAAGGCTTTAGTTTCTGGGCTTAGGTAAAGGAGATTGGTCCAGAAAGGGTAGAGGTAGAGGAATAAAGAGATGTGGTGAGATCAAAGATTGGTTTAGGTTTGAATATATTGTTTTGAGAACGAGTAACAATGTGANGGAACCCGAAGCCTTATGGACATCACTGCTCACAACCAAAACTACGATAATAATGCACCAAACTACTACTACATAGGGAGTTTTCTTGTAAGCCATTTTAAATCCAATTTTTTTTCTTTTCTTTTAATAATCTCTCTGATCAGTCTCAGCTTATGTGTTATGTGATTGCATTGTATTCGATCATTTAAAAACATTCAATTATGCTATATCGGTCACAAAGTTGTTCGAGTTTATTAAGAAGTTAGGTATGTTTAGGTATTGCACCAACTTCAACATTATTTAACTAAATATAGCATTTCATTGTGGTGATAATTAGTTAATTTGGTAAACTCTTAACAAAGGATTTATATAAAATAAAGTCTCCCCGTTGGGATGACAGTGAAAACAAGGTTAAAATGGGCAACGTTGAGTTTGAAATTGAAACAGATCTTTAGAGCCTCAGAAGTGGGCCTAAACTGACATACTCAATTACTCAGTGAGTAGATTTTTTGAGCCCTAATTATTACAACAAAAAATCAATTGAGTCCCAAGGTTTAGAATAAAAGACTTCTTATAAAATAGAGCTCATTACAATTACCCATAAGGTATCTAAAATAACATTTTATCCCCTATTATTTGTGTTTCATTTGAGTTTTTGTTATCTGACTAGCAAATAATACCTTTGATCAGTTAAATTAAACACCAAAACTTTAACGAAGAGTTGAATGTTAGGTGTGTGGATTATTATTTCTCAAATAAATGATCAGGGAAAAGTTATTTTACAAAAAACCCAAAGGCAGAATTACAATAAACTCTTTATTTTTTATTTTATTTTTTTCAGATTTTAAGAGTGATGTTATTGAGCCCAACCTAAACTCTTTCTAAGTGTATTTTGATTAAAAAAAAATTAAATATATTTTTTATTTATTCTAAAATTACCGTTTTATATTTGACCTAACATGTTTTCTCCCTAAATTTGAGAGATATAAAAAAGCAAACCACGATATTTGGAAAAATATCAATAAATTAAGAATGATGCTATTTTTCCTTCTACAATTTATCTTGTATAAGTTCCCACTTTTAAAAAAACTCCACTAGTACTTTTAAATTTATTAAAATATCTACATAAACACAATGTATATCCAAATAATCCTTTTTAATTAATATTTTAATTACTGTGTCATACTTTATTAATCTTTATATTTTTAAGGATTTGAATAACAATCACTCATATATATATATATATATATTAATCTTTTTTCTGAGATTAAATTAGACACAACTTATATATAATAACTATCAAAGTACTAAAGGAAATAGTAACTAATATGATAGGAAAATGAAACATTGATGAATACCATTTTTTTTTTTCCTATTTATCAAATTTTTTTCATTCAAAACTATAAATAATCTTGAAAATTTTAAACATACTGAGACATAGAAAATGGTTTAAGTTATTCATCGACAAACACTTACTGGTCAATGTTTTTAAACTCGACCCGACCAAGGGG